GCTGATTGCTCAATTAAACCTCTCCAGTGAATCGGTTAGTAATTAAATTTGTATCTATTTGCCTGTGAGTTAGAAGGGTTCCCAAAGGGCAGGAAGCCTGAGGAGGAGGAGGAAGAGGAGGTTTAGGTGATGCCTCCGTCTGTGTGCCACAGCAGACAGCATTCCCAATGGGATATTTCTCCATCTATGAGAAAGAGGCAAGAATGCCCCCTCTACTGAGAAGATGCCCTGAACAGATTGCAGAGCTGGGCCAGGACTAAAAAACGAACGTCAGCTGTGGAAAATGTGCAGTATTGCATTTACACAAAAATAATGAAATGTAGAGATAGAGGATTTCCTTGAAAATAGTCAGAGTGAAAGGAATTAGTCTTAGTGGACCACAACCTGAACATGAGCCAACAGTGTGATGCAGCGCCAAAAAAGGCCAATGCAATTCAAGGCTACATCCAGAGGAGGACAGTGTTGGGATCCAGGGAAGTCATAGTCCTACTCTATTCTGTTTTGGCCAGATCTCACCTGGAATCATACCCTTTTGTCCATTTGAGTGGCTTAAAGAGCTGAGCATGTTTAGCCTGCAGAAGAGAAGGCTGAGAGGAGACATGATGAAGGCCAGGGATCAAGATGTGAAGGGGAGTCATAGGGAGGAGGGAGCAAGCTTCCTTTCTGCTGCCCTGGAGACTAGGACGCAATGGAGCCATGGCTTCAAACTACAAGAAAGGAGATTACATCTGAACATCAGAAGAACTTCCTGACTGTGACAGCTGTTCAGCGGTAGAACTCCCTGCCCCGGAGTGTGGTGGAGGCTCCTTCTTTGGAGGCTTTTAAACAGAGGCTGGATGGCCATCTTTTGGGGGTGCTTTGAATGCGATTTTTCTGCTTTTTGACGGGAGGTTGGACTGGATGGATGGCCCATGAGGTCTCCTCCAACTCAGTGATTCTATGATTCTGGGAAAAGCCATTCAAGGAGGAGATGGTCAAGATGGAAGAGATCCCGAGAAGGCCAGCACAAGGGCCAAAGGCCTGGACACTATGAATCCTTTTGGGAACAGCTAAGGGAGTTGGGCATGTTTAGCTTGGAGAAGAGAAGGCTGAGAGAAGAGGGCATGAAAGCTATGTTTAAATATTTGAGGAGGGAAGAAGCTTGTTTTCTGCTGCTCCCGAGACCAGGACCCAGCAGAGTCATGGATTCAGATTACAGGAAAGCAGATTCCATTCAAATATTACAAAATATCTTCATGACAAGAGCTGTCTAACCATAGAATTGGCTTCCTGGGAGTCCGATGGAGTCTTGTCCCTTTTCTAGAGATTTTCAAGCAGAGTCTGGATGATGTTGTACAGAAGTTGATTGTAAATGTTATGATTATAACTGTATTGATTGTAAATGATATTATTATAACTGTATTTGTGTTTGCACTGGTTGCCCTAATGCTGGAGCGGCCTAGCTGTGAGGAGTGTGTTACCATGGAAACGATGCTAATGCTGGAGCGGCCTAGCTGTGAGGAGTGTGTTACCA